ACACACACGCACAGAAATGAATACATGCGTAGCTAACACGTACACGCTCCACAGCTGCTCCCAACATTGCTGCATGTCTGGACAGCTGGTTAAAGAGTGGGAGAGGATTGGGAATGAAGGGAAGCAGGATAAAGAAAAGTCACATCAGTACAAGAAACTGAAAACAAACAGAGAAGCTGCTACATGCATGTTTTTAAATAAAGAGAAAGTCGTGTGCCAAAAGTGATCGAGTAACCCCCGACTGTATATTTCATCTTTAAACATATACAATGTGCTTGTTAAATAAGAACAACGCCTAATCCATGTAATATGCTTGCAGAATGTTATTTTACATTTTAATCAGTGAGAAAAGCAACCAGTTTGGTTTTCACATTGCTTTCTCAAACATGCACAGATTGTAACTGAAAGCAATAAGCCTAACATCTCAGTCATATTCAGAGTCAGATGAGTTTATTCTGGAGGCTGTAGTTTCCAAACGTATAGGATTTCACTACTGATTTATGTTTATAAACAAAACCCCAAAATGATGGCAGCAGAATAAATGGAAGTGATATAACACATGATGTCACCTCTCGCTACCACATACATGTACAGGCAAATGTTTAACAAAGGAACTAGCTGATTCATAGCAGATTTCCTCCTCTGGGATCAGCGTCATTCAAGTCTCTCACTGTCCTGTCATCGTTTGAACCGACTCGGTGTTGGTACTTAAAGGTTGTTTTTAACTACTTACTGAAACAGACCATCCTGCCATGCAACAGCACTGCCACTGAGACCACAGACATGCAGGTTATGTTCAAGATGACACAACACGCACCGTCTACTGTCCAATCATCACCATAGCGTCATGCTTCCTGGGAGATCCCAGTCAACCTCATTACACAGGAAGTACTAAAGGGACTCAAGTTTTTAAGAGACCATCTAAATCCTTGCCTGATGCGTCTGATGCAACAATTATAATTCCTACGAGTAACAGATTTGCTCTTTATTTCTAAATCAGCAGTCTGCAAAGCTAACAAAAACACAACTGCTGTCATGCGACAAACACAAAACTTAGAATAAAAAACATGATATTGGCTGTAAAACTGAACTCTAACACCAGCAAATGGGAGAACAATCACAGACAGCCCAGACGTTCACAATTCTTTTGGTAGACTAGGTTCTGATGAAAAACTAAAACACTGAGTGGCAATTATGTTTTAATCACAGACACACAAAGCTGGCAGAAATTCATCAAGAAATGATCTTTTTCCATTCTTAGCGTTCATAATTTGGCAGGTACACAGTCTACATGGGAAAAGCTCTCTGCTTTCATAGCAAAGGCTGTAAACACAACCTAAATCTTGTCTCAAACAATGCAGCTGTATATTGTCTGTTCTTTCCAGTATCTATATTCAACACTTGCCCACCTTTGTTCCGGACCAGCATGCACTGCAACGCAGCACTAGCTGTGACCTGACTCAGCCACAGTTCCCAGTACATCTTCTGCTTTGGATGGCAAAAAGCCTCAGTATCCACAAAAACGCAGTTTCCCTTCGTTCACTGTGACTCCAAACTGTTTTTAAAAAAACATCCAACTGTGTCTCAGACAATGGAGACTGAGGAGCTCAGGCCAGTTCTCCAAGTCATCGCCTTCACTGTGGAGTACGAAGATTGTACACACAGCAATCGGAGAGCGAGAGAGACACACAAAGGCATCTCCAGCCAAATTATTTACCGATGTAGTCTTTGACTTAAGCCACCCCGACTTCTGTTATTACCGTAGTGAATACCAGCCTCCTGCTGAAATCTACCCACTAGCTTTGATGTGGCCATGAGTCCATCTGGAGAACACAGACACCCATGACTGATGTTTGGAGCCTGAACCCACTCTGAAAGATGGCAAAAAGCGGCAGAGAGAGAGAGTGAGCGCAAAAAAGACATGTGGTTGGGGGCCATGCATATACAGAGGTTTGGGGGTAGGGAAGGGTATATGGCAGTGAGGAAGGACGTGTCCATGTGTGCTTGGGGAGTGTGTGAGAGCTGTGGCCAACAGCAGATGGCCTGTCTTGTTCCTCTAGGGGGGGAGAGGTCCTATTGACCCACGCTTTTCTTCTGATGCATGTGCATAAACGATCATGGCTGCAACTGCTGTAGTCAGGCTAAGCCAACTGTCAGAGCTGCTCCTCTTACATATCTATGTATCAGATTGCGCTTCCCAGGAATGTCTGAATGAAAAAGGGACAATGCCATTTGTCAAAAGGTCTCAATCTGAGAAATCTCAATTCTAGTTACAAGAGAAAGAAACTCCATCACTAATTATTCCGAGGCCTCAACCCGATCACATTAAATGATGAAATGCTTCAGTCGGGCAAAATGCTCTTGGCCTCGTATGCTGAAATGTTTGACTGAGCGAGCAGTTGGCCAGCGCGGGGTAAGTCGTGTGCCCGTCCGGGTGCCTCAGTGAGCGCGTCTGCTGTGATGTCCAACACATGTGCGCACTGAAGAAACTATGGCTTTGTGCTGAATGCTGGAGAGCGGGTGTTTGTGTCTGTGGGGTATACCAAGCCTGCACGCCCAAGACAGCTGCGACAGAGGTGACCCTTGTACCAGGAGCACACATACTCACATATCAGCGATGACACCCTTCCCCTGGATGTCTCAACAGCTGTTTGAATGTTTGCGCCTACAAGTGTCTATAGAGGTCACTTTACCAGCCAAGCACCTTGTGGGGAGTAGTAAACAACACAGTAATATCTTCTGCACACCCTAATCAAAAACAATGCTGATTGTATCTTAAGCCCGTGACCAGTGAGGTCAGGTGGTATTTTCAGCTGCTGCAAAACAAAACATGGCAGCACGACATCCAGGAATAACTCTGCAAAGCACACAGTGACGACGGTGTGAAGATAAACGGCTGGCTGAATGCCGGAAGTGCGAACAAAACCCTCATACAATACTGCGGATGAGACCCGCTTACACAAGAAGTTATGTGAGCCTGACAAGCCTGATCAGATCCTTCACTGTATTCACTCCATAAACCTGGAAATGACAGACCTGGGGGCTGAAATGCATGCTATAACCTGGCACCACCAATTATCCTTTCATATTCAATGACGATTATCCAGTTCTTCATAATTCTACCTCATAAATCTCTCAAGAATTTATGATGTTTTTCAGAATTAGAGGAGACCATCTAAGACATTCATGGAGAGTTTGAAGTCAAGAAAAAGCCTTTCACAAATGTCCTGGACATGTGGCTTTACAGTCTGTACAGCACATTACGATGTCTACCTTGAAACATCTGGATCAAATAGGAAATCCACAACATGTCTGATGCTGTTTAATTGTACGAGTTTTAAGCAAAATTTAGAACACTCGAATTGTCTCAGATGTGCACCGCTAAGCTGAATTTTTCTTGACATTACCATTCAGGTGAGAAACTCAGATAATAAACATGTCAGCTCCCTAGTACAGTGTGACTAGATCACTGTCCAGTGGATATACAGTCAGCAGGAGGAAGGCATGTGCCCTACCAGCACTCTTATCCTAAAGATCTTGCTACACAGCAAGGCAAGTTTATTTGTATAGCACAATTCAACAACAAGGTGATTCAAAGTGCTTCACAGAGACATTAGAAACAAAAACAATGATTTAAAATTGATTAAAACAAGCAAACTAACTAACAAACAAACAAAACAGTATATAAAATCAAAAATCAAAACAGATAAAAACAGTAGATAAAATCAGTAGTTAAAATGTAAGTTTTGAAATTTAAGCTTAAAGGTGTGGATTTGGTGCTTTATTTAAATGCAGCTGAGAACAGGTGAGTCTTCAACCTGGATTTAAATAAACTGAGTGTTTCAGCTGATCTGAGGCTTTCTGGGAGTTTGTTCCAGATATAAGGAGCATAAAAGCTGAATGCAGCTTCTCCGTGTCTGGTTCTGACTCTGGGAACTGATAAAAGACCGGATCCAGATAACCTGAGGGATCTGGAAGGTTCATACTGGGGAAGCATGTCTACAGTACTTTGTCTCACTCTACAGTAACTCTATCAAAAACGAGTTCACAATTTTAAACATTGGTTTGTTATTTAGGTTTAGATCGTCTGCTTCTGGTTTCGGACTTCTAACTGACAAAACAAGGAAATGCCAGAGGAAACTATTAGTAACTGATAAAACAACTACTTGGCACATTTGTAACATGAAGCCAAGGACATGAAATACTGCTCACACTGTGTACTGGCTACACTATGTAATAAAGAAAGAAACTAGGGGTGGGCGACATAAACGATATACGATAGAAACGATATAAATTTGGCCAACGATAGAGATTTTGACT